TGCCTTTACGAAAGTCACGGGGGGCGCCTTTGCCTCGTTACAGGGAGTGGGCATCAGGATCCTCAACTATCCCCAGCATGGCCCACTCGCGAGAACAGTTGTGTGATCACAGGGACCTAGTGATCTGGCAACTCAGCCAGTGTGGACTTCGGGTCAACTGGGAAAAGAGCGAGCTCTCCCCCGTGCAAAGAATCTCTTTTTACAGTATGGAGTTAGACTCTGTGAGTATGACGGCGCGTCTCATGAACGAGCGTGCCCAGTCTGTGCTGAACTGCCTGAGTTCACTTTCAGAGGCTCCTGGGTCATATGGCATCCGCAGCCGCAGCCGCAGTCACACCACTCGGACTGCTACATATGAGACCACTTCAGCACTGGTTACACTCCCGAGTCCCGAGATGGGCATGGCGCCGTGGTACAGTTCACGTGACCATCGCACCAACATGTTGCCACTCATTCAGCCCCTGGATGGACCTTGTCTTTCTATGGGCCAAAGTGCCCTTAGAACAAGTGTCTCGGCATGTTGGTGTCACGACGGATGCCTCCAGTGCAGGCTGGTGCGCTACATGCAACAGGCAGGCAGCCTCAGGGATCTGGACAGGGCCTCGACTGCTTTGGCACATCACTGCCTTGAGTTGCTGACAGTGCTACTAGCCTTGTGGCGGTTCCGGCCGCTGCTGCTTGGCAAGCACGTGTTGGTCCGCACGGTCAACACTGCGACCGTTTCGTACATCACGGTTGTCTACGATCACATCGCATATCACAACTCGCCCGCCATCTCCTCCTCTGGAGTCAGACGCAGCTCAAGTCGCTGCACGCCATCCACATTCTGGGAGAGCTCAATCGTGCAGCCAACGCGCTCTCTCACGACAGCTCACGTTCCCCGAAGAATGGCGACTCCATCCCGAGATGATCCGGCTGATCTGGAGTCGATTCGGGGAAGCCCAGGTAGACCTGTTGCTTCCCATGAGTCCTCGCACTGCCAGTTGTATGACTCCCTGACCAAGGCCCCCTCGGCACGGACGCACTGGCACACAGCTGGCCTCTGGCTTTATGCAAGTATGTGTTTCCCCCAATGAGCCTTCTCGCACAGACCCTGTGAAAACTCGACCAAAATCAACATTTTTCAGGAAAAAAAAATAACTTAAATGATTTTAGCAAATGGCTGCAATATAACAAAGAGTGAAAAATGTAAGGGGGTCTGAATACTTTCCGTACCCACTGTATATATACTAATTCATTTTTAACATTTAAAGCTTACATTAAATTAACAATGTGCCATGAACAAACATGAATTAACTATTAATTGTATGAATAATTAAGTTAATTTAGGATTAATAAATTAGTAAAAATGCTCATTGCGCATGACAATATAAATGAAAATAACCTTATGATAAACTGTCATAAGAAAAATAAGAATACATTTTATTCATAAAGTGCTTTTCCAAAGCACAAGTTAATAATAAATATATAAATAAATAAATAATAATGTAATTCCACATAAATATTCATATGGCTGTAGATTCATTTTATTTACAAAATTATTTTGTTTTGTTAGAACATAATAAATCTAAACCCCTTCTGTGAGACAAAATGGCAATTAGCATTCAGAGTCACATAAATCATGTCACAGACAAGATTATATTTAACTGGCACAGAATGTGTTGCATGTATAGATCACGTTCAGGAAGCCATGCATATTGAAGTGACATGATAACATGACAATTATACCATGCAAAAAGCCATTAACATATTTAAAACAAATTATATACAAATCCTATATGAATATGCATGGATTTTTCATCACGTACACACCAAAACACACACACATAGTAATGTAGTAGCCCTATGGGAGAAGTGCTCATATGTCAATAGTCTCTTCTTGCAGGCAAGAACCAATGTCAACTTTGCCCTTTGAGGTCCCCGGTAGGTCTAAGCTTTGCTGACCTGTTTTTAAGCCCCCCGACCCCCTCACAAAATACATGCACACATACAGAAACATGTCCACACACTCCAACACATGTTTTATTATATTAAATAAAATGCAAGTATTAAGGAAAATCCGTTTTTAAGGTCTAAACAACATATGCTCACCTCTACACTCTCATTCACTTCAATTCCTCCATCGTTGTCGTCATCTAGCTGCTTGTGAATGTGCCGAAGTGCCTCTAAACTGAAGCGGTCAGCTTCATTCATACATGGAGGGATGACTGTCAAACAAGGGTCTGCAGGGAGAGACACACAATTACCCTTTGTCCAGCTAAACTCAGCTTTAAACTTCTGCTTTTCTATGTAGTTCAATGCAAGTTTATTGCATATCCAGACAGACAACTGACGATAATTATTATTTATGGCAATTTTCAGGTCTTAAATGCCTGTCAACAAGACTTTCTATTGTTGATAAATAATAATATTACTCATCAAGTTTTTATCCTAATGGTCTGTACGTGCGAGCATGTGCATGTCTGGGCATCTGTAGGGCTCTGTTTACGGTGGTGTGCTTTCACCGGTCTTGACACGCTTATTAGGTTGCAGGCTGTTGATATGGCAAATGGTGCTGGTATTCGTTTGGATCACATCCTTGCTCTTATTTAAGAGAAGACGTGTGAGGAAAGAAGAATCAATCCAGTTTTAACAAAACTATTACTGGAAAAGAGCCCTGATCGGATGAAACATCACACATCACTGAGGAGCCCAAAAACATTTTCCCAGAGACAGGCACATTACACAAAAATAGCCCCACATATATGCCTCCTTAAAATATTAAGGCAGCTGTATCTGCTTGCATAAAGACAAATGTATACTATATGAGAAGAGTGTGATGTTAGGCAAGAAAAAAAAAAGAATTTTCATTTTTGAGTGATTTATCCCTTTAAGTAGGACTAAACTACATATGAAGAGTTCATTTGCAAAAAAAAAAAAAAACAGATAACTCTGATAACTCAGATAATTCAAAAATCATGTTTTGTTGTTGTTGTTGTTGTTGTTGTTTTTTTATCCTGCATTCCAATTAATATCAATCAAAATTTGGACTGTTTTGATTAAATAATAATAACTAAAAAAAAAAAATACAGCTAACTAACACAATAAAAATATTTATGAATTATAATAAAGACGGAGTTATCTGTTTTTGTAAATAAACTCTTCATATTTATATGCAATTTCATAATTCTATTGTCTTATATGGTTAGAAATATGGTTCAAGTGTACTGTTGATTTTACTGAGAAGCATTTTTGGTAAACCAAAAATATAATTTAAGGTAATTTCTACTGAAACTTGAAAGTCCTGTATTCAAAAATATTTCTAATGACACATGATGAAGTTGCAATTTAGTACATTTAAAGTATATTTAATGTATATAACATTATACTCTACAGTTAAAATTATAACCAACTTTACATGTGCTTTAGTATGTTAGTCAACACATCTAAATAAGAGTACTTCTTTACATAACAACAAAAGAAAATGAAAACATAATGATTTAAAGTGTACTTTAAAGTAAAACATTTAATTTGAAATTACAAAGTGCAGTTTTTAAAAGTGTGATAAGAAACAGTCATTAAAGAATGCTCTCTTTAAGTACACCTAAGAAGCCTCTTATTTCAATAATATTATTTTATCTGCAAGTATTTTATAAGATATTTTCAAGATTTGATATACATTAACATGTGCACATTCAGTACAATTAAGCACTTTTTTTTTAAAAGGTTGGCACTCTGAGCTGAGGGTCCCCAGACACCAGTTTGAAAAACGTTAACTGAATAAAAAGCAGAGAGCTACTGTATCACCAACAAAAGTGACTGAAGTCCTTACTTTTATGGCTGAACAACCTCAAAATTCTGCTAAACAAAGTTAAACAAAAGAAGGTCTTCTCTTAGTATTTGCATTATGCCTTGCATGTGTTCCCCCATCTGATTGCATAATCATATTTGTGTACCAGATGTCCCTGTCCACAATCATTTCCATGTGTGGTGTTTTGCATAAAACTCACTTGTGCTGATGGGTGACATCACAGGAACACTGTGACCAGAAGAAATGCCTAACAATTACAAATGCTGCATGTCAAACAGCGGAGTCCACACAGAATTTGGGATTGTATAAAAAAAATGGAAATAAAATGTTTCTAGATTGTGAAAAATTAAAACTAATTTTCATGACCATCAGGTTTCACACACACAAAGTTAATGCATCTGTCACAAAAGGCATTTTGAAATGTGTGTCAACTCTTCTGTAAAATTGTATGCTGATCATATGAAATGACAAATTGTATTAAATAAAAAAAGTGGCAAAAATCTAAACAGAAGCATTTCCACTAGTAGTCTCATACTTTCGTAGTCCACTGTATGCATCACTAAAAGGAATAAAAACAGAACACTTTTAACAGCATATTCAGATCAGCAAAGAAAACAAAAAGACTGCTGATGATGTGCAGGTCACTTTTCATTCAGGTGACATTAGTAAACTTACTACAAAGCTCCCCTAGCACATACAGCATGTGGCAGGAAGTGACACGGTGAGGGGGAGAATAAACACAACCAAGTAGCAAAAATAGTTCTGGAGAACAAAATGAGTGAGTGTAAAATTAGGACACGCAAAGTTATAAATAGATTTTTGTTTCCAGTTGTCAGGAAGTGGTTTATCTAAATGACAAAGAACAGTACGGGCCTCCATGAAAAATACACACACACATACACAAACTCCTTAAATGAAGGCACGAGTTACAGATAAAAGACGAACCGCCACTTGCTAAAACATTCTTTCCATGAAATAAAGGGAAAAGTAACTCTCAAACAATCTTCAAAAGCCACTTTTAACTCAAGCTATACGAATGACAAGCCACACATCCCCTCTGATCAATTATTTTTCAGGATATTTTTAATGGTGAAGGAAATCAGTTGCAGTTCTATCTGAAAAGTCACCAAAAAAAAAAGGTTAGTATATAAATGCCACATCCAAGAGCGATCAATGTCTATACATAAATATAGCATAAAAAAAGAAAAAGAAATGTCTCTTTTTCAGGATACTGTATTTATTATTATTGTATAATTAATATTGTATAATTGTGTACTGTATTTTAATAAAATAATACATTATTTATTCAAACTACTAAATAAATAAATAAATAATACGCATGCTGATACACTCAGAAAAAAATTGCATAGAAATTTGAACACCCTCAAATGTAATATTTGTACTTTATTCACCCACTAAAATAATACCTTTTCTCAAAGATGTGTGGCCCCTTTAATCTAACTGGTAATTACAGAATTGCAAGAGAGAAGCAGCGTGTAAAGTAAATGCATACTGTGAGAGATACGATATGTGCTTGGGACACTTGGATTACAAATGGATGTCTCACTCGGACAGGAATAGGCATTAGGCCTGGGCGATAAAACAGTATCGATATATATCGACGGTACACCTTCACTGATAACGATATAAAAAATGTTCGATATAGTGCACGATATAGGCACGTACTATGAGTGATGCAGACATCTCACACAAACACGAACACATGCTGAATTGAGTGCTGTGCCTGCCTGTGATGAGATTGTGAATAAAAACATTAATATTAGTCGAATTTAAAATAAGCATTTGCATTTGAATGCAAAAATGGTACAATCGAATGTTAGGAGTGCGTCAGGGAGCGTCATCAGTGGTGCGCAAGATGCGGTGATGATGAGGTAAGTGACGTTGCATTTTAAAGGGGTCATATGATGTTGCTAAAAAGAACATTAT